ACAAACAAAATACTCAAAAGAGAGTTTGTCTCCAAGACTGTGCAAAACAAAAAAAAAACCTAACAGTTCTGTTCTTTTTAAATTTTCTCTGAAAGATGCAGATACTTAATACAGAGGGTTTTCTTTTTAATTATTAATAATCATCAGGTAAAGAGACAAGGAAGATCAGACCTAAAGAAGGCATGCATAATGTTTTGTATTTATCTTTTTTAAATGGCATAATCATAATATCCTGTTTGCTCTCTCTTTGTGGCTTTAAAAAAAAAATCAAATAAAATATCAAGGCTTTTCACTTTTCTACTTCACTCACTGGCTTAGTGCTGTCTTAAAATTTTTTCGAAATAATAAAATCTAGTGTTTGCCCCCCATGGGTTCAATCCCCACACTCCTCCCTGGGGTGTTGGAGGGAGGAAGAAAAGGCTATTTGCTCAGACAAACCTGGGAATCATGCATGGTCTTTTCCTTCACCAGGGATTAGCTGATCTAGTCCTGATGTGGGATAGCACCCCCTAACAAGGGGAGCAGAGAGCTATCTGTTGCAAAGCAACAGCTCCACCTCATGCAACAGCTTTTATTTTCTGCGTTCTGTTAAATAAGGATTAAAACTCCAAATTGGCTTTCTTCTCTTCTTCTGTAGTCTGTAAAAAGGTTGCCTCACACTTAGTATGCTGTCAATGCACTTCCATTTCCTCAAAAGATCTGAAAAATTATTAGGGGTAGACAAAAATTCAGGTAAAAGCCCATCCCAACTTCTGCAAGTAATGCCTTCCCTCGGTCAAGACAAATCCTATCAAGTCTGCCAGAAAGGCCATTTTCTTCTTGGGGCTAGGCTATCTCCTTGGTAAGGTCAACAAAACAATTCCACATTCCCCAGCCAATGAATAAAGGAAATGGACTCCTTTTGCAGCAAAGAAAAGAAAGGAAGATGAGTTGGCCCAAAGGACAAACATCAGATCACCTGCGTTAATTTCCTTTCCCCTCTGCTTCATGAGGTATGCTCTAACACCCAGAGGCAACATGGGGAGGTGGCCTGGAGTCCTTCAGCTACAGTTTTTGAGGTTCTGATCTGATAGTTTTCTGTGTTACAACACCACTTTAAAAAATAGAAAAATTACCCAAATAAACACTAGGAAACATGACACTTACAAACATCAGATAGGTTAGTGGTGGGGAGAAGCACCTGGGTGGGGCTGCTGGCTCCCACTGCTATTTTTACTCAGAGACCAAACAAATCAAACAGGAGGCCAGGTAACCCCTGTAATTCTATGGGTGCATATATTTCAGTATAAAAAACACACGCTATTTATGCCTCATATAGGAGTGTATGTGCAAGTCTTTATGAAGAGCATAACACTAAGTTTTTTGTCTGCTTCCTAAGGAACACGTGTTCTGCAGCACTGTGGATCCCAACTATACTACTAGAAAGGAAAAAAAAAAAGAAAATCCCATACATGTACCCTCTTCCTCTAAAATCTCTGCTCTTAATGCAATGCTTTTTTTGTTTTGTTTTGTTAAATTAAATAAGCTGGCTTCAAACCTCCATGTTTGGCCAGGTAGTGGCTGTTTCTATAACCAGTATCTCTGAAGAGCAAGCTTCTATTTAAGTTATATTCACTTAAACCCATTTTTTTAATCCTTACTTCCACCTTTAGTTTTAAATCAACATCCCATTTTTGGTTTTGTTTTTTTTTTTTTCTTTTTCTTTTTTTTTTTAAAAAAAGTCCTGTTTGGGATCCAGTAGCTGAGCAACCAGCTTTCCATAGCATTCTTGCTGTGCAGAAATCGAAGAAGAAACTCAGGCTGAAGTCAGTCTGCCAGGCAACAAGAAGAGAAGCACATCCTCTCTCTTGAACCCCAGTCTTCACACTGGCTCCTCTGGGGTCTCCTGGCCACCTCTCACCGATTGAAATCGCAGCACAGCCTGAGCGCGATGTTAACTTCCACCATGGCTTTGCGGAGCACAGTTCAGCCATCCGCTGCTCAAGCCACCTCCTTTTTTGCTCTCCCTCTCTCCTCCTCTCTCCTTCACTTTTGCTTTCCCCCTCACTTCATTTCTGAAAGATGTTCCAGCTGCTGCCATTTTCTTAGCCCTGGGAGGGGGGCATGTTGAATAATCTGTCATTTATTTAGCATTATTCCTGTTTATTATTTTATACAAACAACATGTCTTTTTTTTTTTTAGATTTAAAAACACCTTCGTACAGCAGAAACAGACACGATGGATCCATGGAAAACAACAGAAAGGCAGTGCCCGGAGCATCAGATGCATGCAGGGTTTCGTGCATTTGGCTGCTGCCTGTTTGTAATTTGTATTTATTTTTTTTAATGTCAAAACAGACATGACCGTTGCTGTCACTCAGGCACTCCAGAGCTGCTTGCTAAGAAGATATTGCCCTCCAGCTGAGTATCTCCACAAGTTGCTGCAGTCAGGAAGAGGTAGTGTCCACCCAGAAAGGAGAGGGGAGAACAGGATGGAAGATGGAAGGAAATAAAGCCAAACATTAGCTGTATACAATTAATAAAACACATTTTCTACAGGCTAATTATTTGGTGCAGGCAGAAATCCTTCCTAACACAACACAGATTGGGGCTTGTGAGGAGAACCCTGAGGACAAGAGGCACACACTTTCCCTTCCAGGTGGCTGAGTGTGCCAATGAAAATGAAGTACTTGCTAAAAGGAGTTACTTGCTTGATTGGAGCAGACCTGGGCCTGCTATCTAATACTGACATGTCCCAGAAGTTGAAGAAGTTTCCCAAGGAGTGATCAAAGGCTCTGGTCCTAAGGAACAGTTTCACCCTCACTTCCACCTGGCTCTTCCTTGAACTGAAAGATTATTCTTTGTGGTTTTTTTTTCTTAAGTCTTCAGTAGTTTTGTGTCTCAGTGTTCTTAATATTTAAACAAATGTATGAGCTTTTCTGCAGTTTTGCAAAGTTGTAGCCCTAGTGACTGCTTTTAGCAAAGGCTCCTCCTGGCTAATCTTCTTGTGTCAAATTACTGGATTTATTTTGACCAGTTTTAAGTTTGGGTTTTTTTCATGTTTGTTTAGCATTATCCTGCTGTGAAAGCATAGCCAAAATCTTCTTTCTACCATTTCTTAGTTTGCAAATCTTTATCGCAAACTCTTACTAGTCTTCTCCCTTCTTGGTTCCTACCCTCTCCTTACATGGAGGGCCTCTGATTTAACCTCAAACTTCTTTTACGGCTGCAGTTTCCTTTTAAGATGACTTACCCAAAACTGGTAAATTCTGCCTTCCAAGTGAGAACAAACCACTGATTTCTATTTAAGCATTCTTATTTATCTTTCTCCTTCTTCATCCCTACCATTCACTGCACATGGGCCAACACTGCTCCAAAATCATTCAATGTGTTGAGATGGGGGCTGCCCACACTGACCTCACTCATAATTGCACATGGTTACACCTCCTTCAGAAGCCAGAAATGCACACGAATATTTCAAATTCAATTTAGTTTTTAAAAATATTGTTTTAACCAACACTTTGTGGTTTGGAAATGGCTTCTGCTCTGCAGTCTTCAGAAACCCTCCAGCACATACCTCTTGGAGGAGATGCAACATTTTAGCTGTCAAGTCAAGGAAACATAGCTCTTCTGTAGCAGCTAAGACTCCCCATTCCTAAACTTCCTTAGAACTCCTACGCACAGCCTGAGCCATACTAATCTTTAATTTAATAATTTGTTCTGCATCTTTTTTTTTGACTAAATCCAGGACAGAAATCTCCCTCAACACCTCTGTAATGAAAACTGATGCAAATAAGTGGTTTTTTTTTTTTTCATTTCCCTGGAAGGGCTTTATCCTTCTCACTGCCTTACTCCCTGGAAATTCAGCTGATTGTCCAGCTCTCTGGAAAGCTTCCCTGCTTCTGGTGCCCCCAACTGGCTTTTGCTTTACAAATTCCATCTATGAACTCTGAAGTTTGCTTGTGATAGTTCACATTACTTTCCATTGCCTTCAGGAGGGTTGAATGCCTCACAACACGTAAGAATAAAAACGGCACTTGGCTTAGTCTCAACTAGTACACAAGACTAAGACTCAGGCAGTAACTATACTTCAGTGGTTCATACTCAAATGACCACATTAAAAAAAGCTTGTCTCCAAGGTGTAATGTTTTTTGTGTTTGCTCTTAAATAGAAAATCTTTAGTAAAAAGGTTCTAAGATTAGTAAACTTGGATCTTTAAATGAATGTGACATATACTTCAGCATAAAACAAAAGAAGGCAGAAAGACTTTGTACATCTAACTAGAAGAAACCAGTAAGGCAATAAACAAGAATGCCTAAATGCTGCAGAACTAAATGGATCTGGTGTCTTTCAGGAGCAAGCAACAAAAGTTTCATGTCAAATTTTACAATCAAATTTCCTCCAATGCTGAATTTTGGCAAGCTAAATGAGGGATATTTTAAACACTCCAATACTATTACTTGTTTAGATATTTTTTTCTCTGAGCTTTCTCAACATTTTATACTAAATAGCTTCTGCTACTCAGAAAATCAGTAGTAAAATTTGTATGAATGAATCTTTACCATTATGGCATAGAAATTGTTCTGTATAGATTTTACAATATCCTCTCTAGAGTACGACATTCTCATCAAAAAACTCTTCTGAAATCACCAGCATGTAAAGGTAGAACGCGGAGAGCTAGAAAAAAGCAAACCTGTGCACAGCATGAAATACTCTTCCTCTCTGCTCTGGATTAGCACTCTGAGCACAGAGCCGAGTACCTGAGAGGAAGCACTGCTGCTACAAGGGTAGCTGTGCTCAGGAACAACCGTCTGGCACATGACTCCAGTTTGTCAGGAGTGGCAGATAATCCTACTGACTCGAGGACCAACTGATCAGCAAAAGTTTTTAGCCCACAGACAACTGAAAATGGTTCTCACAGCCAGCTAAACAGCCTTGAACACTGAATTCCCACATGCAGAAGCCTTAGCTGTGTGTAAGATATACTCCTTCTCTGATAGTCCATACCCGTAATTTGATCCTCACTGGAGAGGTGCTGCAGGAGCTCCAGAGCAGTGGTAGTGGACGTTGAGCCACTTGCCGTCTCGGCGGTGCCAGACACGGGTCTCTTCAGACTGCGTGGTGCGGGGCCGGCCTTGGCCATCAATGTACTGTGTCAGGCGGATGTAGGCAATGCAGGCAGCATCTTCACCAATGACATGGACGTGGGGGTTCAGGATGGTGGTGTGTATTGGCTTGCTGTTCTTCGACAGTACTGGCAGAACATGCAAAACCATCAGCTTCATTTTACTGTTAAGAAAGAACAGCCCCCCGCATCCTCCGACCTCTTTTGTATTCTACTCACCTTACACTGGATTCTGGGACACAATAAAAATTGTTCCTGCAATTTTCCAGGCAAAATCCAAGCAATTCTTTCCCCTATTATCTGTTCTTCTCCTTAAGAACTGTGCATTTATCATTGCCTAGAATCCCCTGGCCCCTTTGCTCTCACTTCTTCTGCAAAACATACTTGCCACTTTTTCAACATCGGTGCTGCTGCTTCTTCAGTTATAGGAAAAGAGTCTTTAATTACAGAATATTGTTGCAAAGGAGTCAATAATCAGGAGATCCTTAAGCTAGGCCTGTGTTAAATATGAACAAGCCTCAGACACATGTAAAAATCACTTCAGAATAGGCTTTTGAGAGAGACAAAGTCTCTGCATGCTTAGAGCACTAAGAATTGCCTATACTAAGGACCTTGACCTAACCCTCAAAATAAAACAAATTGAACAGCTCAGGATTTAAATTTCAATTATCTCATCCTGTGGAGACATCCAGGAAGGGAAGCAAATTCACTAGTATACATGATAGCATTTCTCCCAACTCTTTTTCCTGCCCCAGGCTGACAAGGTGACCCTTGTATCCACGTAACAGGTTCACTATGTGTTAGAGATCTGAAACCATCCAGGGAAAAAGAGAACGCGTGACTGATTTGTGCATGATTATGTCTGACCATTCAGTATGTCTGTCTCAAACATACATCTATTGTTGTTTCCATCAAAATATCCTCATTTTTTCCATTTCCATATCATTAGGAAATCCAGTGCCTCAAACTTTTAAAGCTCCTGCAGTCCATGCTTACAAAATATCTGCACCACGCAAATTGTATGCCTACAGTGAAGGGATCTGGGGGTTAGAATTGAAATTGTTGCTGAAAAAGGCTTTTGAGAGAAAGCATGCTGCCTCTTATGAATATATCATAACCCACGTACAATCAAGTTCTTGCTGGTTCTGATAGCCAGTAAAAAAAGGGCAATTTTCCCCCAAAACATGGCATAAAGGAAAATTAGAGAGAAAACTGTTGGTGTTACCAAATCTACCCACTCACAGTTCTCAAAGTAAAACTTATGGAAATCCATTCCTTCAACCAGGTTCCCCAGTGCTTCAGGTTCAAATGAAGTCAAGCCAGGATCACAGATTTTTCTGCAAAGAAAAGCACCACAGGCTTACAGTCTGCATTTGAGCCCAAGGGCTATTTACACAATGAAGCGCTGGTACGGCATTTCCCTCACACCGTGTCCACCTACTTCCCTACTCCAAGGAGTAAGTTCCTGAAGGATTTAGTCCTACTGCAACAACAGGGAGTTGGTGCTAGTTGGCATTTCACACAAACCAAGCTTCTAGGTTCCTGGCTTTTCTTTTATTCTTTATCTGCCCATCCCACTGCCGTCCCCACTACTTTTCTTACAAATCAGGACATTTTCCTTTTGTCGCTCCAGTTACTGTTTGATACCTGACTCCTACTTGATGTTCACTTAGAGAGCTCTACCATATCCCTACTCCTAACTGATGGAGGCTAAAAAGCGTAAGACTTTTTATCATCCCTGACTGCATGACAACTCCTCATACCCAGGAGCCAGAACATCACTTCCACACAAACTGATAAACAACCTGTCAGAAGGCGTCTGTACTTACGTATAAGCCTCAAAGTCTCCATTGTTGATGGCTTCTATCAGCTGCTCTGTTATCTTAATGATCTCTTGCTTACGCACTGTGAACAAGAAGAAAGAGCAATTTAACTGTGCATAAGACTACAATGGGAATACAGGGGCTAGTGGGTGCTTCCTACAAGCAATTTGTGGAGCACCCTTAGTCTAGATCTCATAGGATGCTGCTCCCTGCATCCTGAAGATATGCAGTAATGACAGCCATCTACATGAGAGTAGGGGGGCAGTGGTATGGAAGGGGAATGGTGATCCCATAATGCAGGGAGAAAAGAAATAAAGATGCCATATTCAATTTTTTTCTTCTAGAAAGGTCTAAGGCACCAGAGATGTCTCCTGAATGACAGCCTGAGACGCTTCTGGGGAGTCTGACCAATGAATGTCAGTGAACCTGCCAATGTGAAGCACTTGTTTGGCAGCTTAAGATGTGGAAAATCTTCTTCAAAGTAATCATATACAAATGGCCACCACATAGATCAAGCCAATTGGAAAAAATCTCCCAACAAATTGCCTATCACCATCATCAATTCCTCAGCTATTATCAATGCTGCAAACAAGCAACTGGGACATGTAGGGATGACTTCTGCAAGCTAGAAAGACAATTGCAGCAGGATGGATGGGTTTGATGAAGAGGTCCCAGCTATATAACTGCCTGCCATTCCTCAGGCAGTTGGCTTCTGCCAATCCCTATGGCACAATTCTTCAAGACGAATGAAGACAAGGGCTAGCTGTCTACTGTTATTTGGCCCATCGCTGGCCAGCACCTCTGCACTCTCTTATGTTCATTTCCCACAGCCGACTGCCCAGGCTTCACCCCCTCTGAGACGTTCCATCACCCATGCTGATCTCAAGTCCTTAACACTCACAAAGTTTGTGTTGGCTCTGTTAAATAACACAATTCTAGTTCTATGTCTGTATTTGCACTATATATATACCTGAGCCTGCATGCACACCCTCACATCTCTTCATCCTTCCCCACGCTTTCCCTGTAGGTAGATATCCTGTACATTATACAAGCATTTAGGAGGTGCTCTAGCATTACCTTCAATATTATCAAATATTTTACAGTTCCTACCACTAGAAGTTGAATTTATCTGCCTTTCGGCATCTAAAACGTGGGTGTCTGAAACAGAACCAGTCACCTGACTGTTCCTCTTTTAGGGCCTGAAAGAAACAAGCACTTCTGGAAGTCCCACCTAAGGTATCTCAGGTGCCTATCATCAGGGTGATGGTGTTTAAATCTAACCTACCATCTTTGGATGTCCAAGTCAGGGAAGCTGAATTCCACTCTAAATGCCAGAAGATGCTAGTCTGAATTGCCCTTCCCTGTAAACTTTCATCCACATGTGCATCTCATGCCACCATCGATAAGTGCAGCTGAAGAACAACTAGATGATAATCTCACTGCCTATGAAAGATGTCTACATCCACTCTGGAAATCAGTTAAGAAAATTATACTACCCAGCCAGTCAGTGAAACATCTCAGATAGGTGACAACTGGCTCATAATAGTAGGGGAGCTGGTTTTGCCACTCAGGCTGCATGAGTTTCCACACATTGAAAAACACACACAGGGAATGGATCAAAACTACACAGTGGGCTGTGTCTATTGTGAAAAATGTCTTTACAAACAAGCTGCCTGGAATTGCTTCTTCGTGAAGTGGGGCTACTTGTTGGACCTCCCTCCCACGCAGAGCACACACAAACACACGCAACGTGTGGAAGACAGAGTCCATGGGAAAGACTCCCTTTGGGATGAGTAAGGAAATCTGCAGACCACAGCCACCATGTGCTGACTCATCTCAAGGAGATTTGCACCCCCTTCCCAAGCATCACTATGCAGCAGCATCAACCCTACCCTTCAACACAAGCCCATTCCATCAAACTGTGCCCGTCTTCTTGCTTTTACTACATGTCCCAAGCTACAACCAGCACACAGGAGGTGACCCATTTTTTCCAAAGGACAGAGAGCCTTGGGATGTCACGGAGGTCCCCCCCTGCCACTCCTGACAAATCCACGGGACCTCCTAACTTAGGCTGCAGAGAGGCACGAAAGGGAGGCAAGCATGCACCAGCACGGACACAGAAGCGTGACTCACGGCTACTCTACTGCCTTTTTCGAGTAACCTCA